TGAGTATAGAAATTTGAAGATATTTGAATAGAATTTAAATGTGATATAACTTCTAATCTGTGTTACCATGAAATGAAGATTAAAATATATCAAATACACTGATAAATAGAAGCATATACATCCCGTTCCTTTTTGCATTAGGCTACTGAACATTTCTTATAATCCATTCGTAAAATCAAAAGAATTTTAACAAAAGAGGAAATATACAAGTTTTGAACATAAATTTTACATAATTGATCATAATGTCAAGGAAAAACAAACACTGAGATTCCCGATCACAGCCAAAGAAATTATCTTAAATTATTTACATTTTAAACAGCTTATTAAAAAGCTTACAGAAGGAACGCCAACTAAGCTGGAAAACTAAAGTTCAATACATCATTTTGTAAGGAACTTTCTGGAAATATTTACACGATATGAACAGAAAACATCTAACGAGCAGCACTTTAATCTTGTTAAAATTTACATATTGGTGAGTACTTTACTTCTATTCCTCCAAGAAGCAAACAAGAAAAGTTAAACGGTAGAAACAGAGCTCCCTCATCATATACTCCTTAGAGACATGTAAGTTAGGACAAATTCTATTGCATCATGACACAATAATGGGGAATGTTCGATTTCAAGATCTGTTTGCCCCTGCCCTTTGAGTCTGCAATGCTAGAATTTCAAAAATTACGATTTAAAAAATGGATTTTCGGACATAATATATGGAGAAAATCACAGGATGAGATTATGTAGTCGATTTGCAATGAAAGAAGATTTCTTGGAATCAATTCTTGATTTCTTCTTGATCGCTGCTGCGATGGAGAGGATAAAGGTTGGGGATTTTTGGGCGTGATTTGTGGTGGGGTGTGTATAGTGATTGAAATGTCATGTTTGGTGGAGTGATGATAGCTTCTCTTTAATTAGTGATATGAGTGAATATATTTATTGGTTATCATTTTTACTCTATATGTTGTAGTAATTTTGGAACTAAAAAAGTTGAAATGTAAAATTTGAATATTAATTTAAATTGTAGTGACAGGTGTAATTTCTACTATTTTTTAACGCTTAAGTGTGCATATATGGTCAACGAAATGTGTTGACCGTTTTATTATGCGCATATCACATATGCAATGCGTTTCAAAAAAGTATCGAGCTTATGCAAGTATGTACAATGTATATATGTGCATTTTAGAACACTAATTTTGGACAAGGTAGAATTTTCTGGTGGGGTGATGAAAATATTTGTTAAGCTTGCATTGCCAAGTGATGCGACATAGTTGAATTAGGTTTGGCAGGTCAGTGTAGCGTTGAAAAATGGGATGTCGAAAAAACATGCTTTCAGGCCGGATAATTTGAATTCAAAAGGCACATTGTCGTTTGTGAGTAAGTGATAAGTATGTTTTTGCACACTTATTTAGGTCACAAATATGACTTAATAACAAGTAAAATGATTGAATTGTGACTTAATCTTGTTACATTTTGTGAATTGTAGGGAATACCGATGAACATGGTGAAATTCAGGAGAAAAGAAGCGAAAAAGAACTAAAATGACGCAAAGTGAAAGTTCAGGGACCAAGGTGCAATTATCCAAAAATTGACCCGATGAACAAATCGAGAAATTGATGAAGCCAAATGCCAATTGATGATATCTTGGGATGATGGAATGGAAAGAATGAAAAAAAGATGCCAAGAAGTGAAGAATTCAAGTAGAAGGACCAAAATGAACTTCTTCCATAGTTGGTAGCACTATACCCTCTATGCGGCCGCATAGAGGCAAGCTGATAGCTAAATGTCACAAAAACTTTACTCTATGCGACCGCATAAAGATGCTCTATGCGGTTGCATATAGCATTTTCAGGCCAAATCCGTAGTTTCCTTATTCCACCGAAACTTTTATGGAAACAATCTTTTTAAGGTCCTATATAAACGAAAACTCGACCAGAACGATGAGGAGGCCGTTTTTACAATTTTTGAGAGATTTTGAAGGAGAAACGAAGAGAGAACAAGAGGAAAACATCGCGCCAAGTAAAGATTCGATTGAAACTTGATTTGAGTGATGACGTTTTTTCAACTATTTTTGTATTTTTTTTTTTAACATGTTATGCTAGATTTTTCATTGCTAGAGATCAATGAACCTTGTAATACTACGTTTGATTTTTGATTTGGATATTTGACATATTTAAACGCGTGTTCCAGAATTGAATGATTTATTACGTTTTTATTTCCATATTATTATTGTGCACGTAATTATATGATTGTGGTGACTTGTTTTATGCATTCGAAAGAAGGAAAATAGGCTGGACATAGTATAAATCATCATAAGGTCCGATAGGGGATAGAAATATACCTCCATGCCTTGTGTGAATTGTTGGATATTCATGAAATCATAATGCATTCCGGTATGTTAGTATTCGTCATAGAGATATAGTCGAATCACATATTGGAATAAGTTTGGCATTGGTCGAGGGAGATTGCTAAATTAAAATAGAAATATTGATTAATCTTTTGTGGGACCGTGTGTCAAAATTGACGATTAAAAATTGAACGGGTATTGCTTGGAGATTTGTGATCCTAGTGCATTAGTAAATTCATTAATTCCATAAATTCTTATAAATTACATCCAAATCATTTTGTATTTAATATAATTCTTTCAGTCATAATTGCATCATAGTTTACATCTTCTTTAGCTAACTCACAATACATCAATTTTACTTTTGTGTTTCGGTTAAAGTCATAATAAGTTGATTTGAACTAATTCAATCCTTGTGGGATCGATACTTGGACTCATAGTCCATTTTACTACTTGTTAACGAATCGTACACTTGCGGTGGATTTTAAATCGAAACAAATAATTTCGTGAACAGTAAGACAACAGCATCGACGCCTATGTTGGCGCCGACTAGCGGGAACGGAATTTGAGGGCAAAATCGATGTGAAAGCGAAGGGAATACTTCGGAATTTTAGAGGGCTGCTCCTAGCTGTTTTGTCCCACTTTTAGGATTTTAGATTTTAGGGTTGTGGTTTTCCAATATACATCGGAATAAAAAATTAGGAGGTGAAATATATAATCTACATATGTCATTGTAGGTAAAATGCGTATTTTTCTTGTTCTTATTTTGGTTATAGTTACAATTATATGACAAAATTAATATTTTATTTTGATCGGTATTTTTGAACATTTGTACAACAACTTTTTTGTACGATAAAAGCAAGTTTTGTAATATAGACCTTCTTGACTGATCATGATTACGAAAGAAGGATGGGATGAATGATTGAAGAACCGTGCTGCTCTGCCAGGCCTGTAACAGGCTTGGTAGAGCACTTCATCTCATATTTGGGGGTTGGGGTGGATATTTTTTTAACAATGAGGAATTCATTGAGGTGAGAGAATGTGAGAGGAGGCCCTCTACTAGGCCTAGTAAAGGAGCTTAGTTCATGATTGAATATGAACTAGCCTTATCTTCTCGTATATTACGATTCAAAGCAAACGAAATTTGTAAATATATAAAATACAAGGGAAAATTAAGGGGGGCATTAAGAAAAGACATTCATAACTAATGTCTTTATTTTGATACTTATGTAATTTGGTTCCTTAGGATCCCAAATGTTTCAATGTTCTAGCTTTCCAGTCATTTTTTTTTTGTTTTTTTTTTTTTTGCCCTGCTTGACACACATTCTTTGAAAAAAAAAAAAATAATAAGGAAGTTATTTGATATAATTTCAATCACTCATTTTTCAATGAAATAATATTACACAAAAATCCATACTTTTTCTTATTTTTTAATTACACATTTTTCATCAATACACTATTCAAAAATACATTTTTATAAAAATAACATGGCTCAAACAAGGGCTTATCTATGATTATCACTAATAATCAACTTACATGCTCCATAACGTGGATTTTAAAGTATTTGATAATAATAATAATAATGTATTAGAAAGAGACAACATGAGCTTTATCAAATTACAAGAAATATCCTCACATTAAAAAATAAAAAATAAAGCCACACTAACATCCCCTATTTGTAGTTTTGAGTATTACATGTAATATACTCACTGACCATTATTTAAGATATATATCATCTAAGATTATGTTGATATATCGAAAATGATATTTTAAAAAAATGAATTTTTCTGTGGAACTAAATTATAAGAAAATAATTTTATACGTTATATAAAAGGCTCCTTAGACGTAGTTTAATTACGTAAAGTTTTATTTAATTTTATGTGGTATTAATTTTTTTTGAATATATATTTTTAGGTGAATGTTTAGCATAAGCTAAATGCAATGATATATTACATCAATTAATTGATGAATAAGTTCATGATAGGTCATTAATTAAATGATCGGCCTTAATTTGATGGATCGTGTCAAACCACGTACAAATGTGCAAGATATTAATGATTATATTGTTTAAGATATCATAATTATTAATATATCATATTAACACGAAGTTCTATTATATAACATGATCATCATATAAAAATAAATTTTGAAAGTGTATAATGTTTTAACATAAACCCTTTTTAGCTAATTTTTTACTTTATTATAAAATATTCATATTTATATTTAACATCTTGTTTTAGTGCAAGTTTTTAAAAAAAAAAAAATTGAAATTAGTAAAATTAGTTGTGACAGATCATCAAGTTTGTGGAGATCCTTAATTCATCACCATCAAATCAAACTAAAAAAGGTGGCTTTTTCCCAGCTCGTTAGGTGAAACTTCAATCCATTGAATAGAAAAAGTGAAAGCATTTTAAAGCAAAGCAAAAGATGATGTGCAGAAAGTGCCAGAGAAATAGTATTTCTTTGGAACAATTTATTAAGAATATTCGTATTTGATAAGTTGTGACATGATACAACCGACATTCGAGTGGATTGCTTCATAGATTGGTTTGATAATGTCCTGTTTCGAATGAATTTAGCTTAGCCGAACCATTGTCGGTTCAGTTTGATGTTCGAATGCTATGTTTCTCCTTTCTAGTCGAAAGGAACCATTGAGGGTTCAGCATGCAAGGAACAGATAAAATTTAACGACCTTCAATATATAACACGAGCATTGATTGTAGCTCAAGGATAATGTTACATATATTATTTCAGGTTGATCCTAATGCCCGATCTAGTATCAAAACCAGCACAAATTCAGCAATGAAATAAAACTGCAGCCGAGGAACAAGAAATAGGCAGAAAACCAGAAGTCATGTAGAAGAACAGCAGGCGTAAGTGCTCTTATTTTGCTTCGTTAAGTCAACATTAACCCGGTTGACAGACAATTCAGCCTTGTAGGAATCGGAGTTGAGAATTTTCCGACTAATATTGTTGAAGATCTCACGGATAACAATCTCAAAAGCCTTGTACACATTGGTAGAATCCAAAGCGGATGTCTCTATGAAAAATAATCCTTCTTCTTCTGCAAGGCTTTTCCCGTCCTCCACGCTCACCTCTCTTATGTTCTCTAAATCGCACTTGTTCCCGACCAGCATTCTTGCTACAGTTGTGTCACAATGAGCTGCATGAACAGGAAAGGTTAAAACTTGCTAAAGCACTTTATTGCATGTTTGGCACGGAACATTCAAATAAAACATTGAAAATGAGCCACTGACTGTCAACTGATCACTTGGTTTTTATTAATCATCATTGCTAAAACAGTTTTGGAAACATATTGTGGCAATCATATGAAAACCAGAAGAATTATTCCTTAAACTATTGTAAGTTTATGACACAACTAATCTCTCAAGAAAGATGAGACGACTTCATTTTGGTTGGTGAAAAGGACTAAGATCATCAACATTGTTCTGCCACTAGCTAAACGGAAAATCGAACATTACAGGGTAAATTAGAAGTACAATGATGTCTACATTTTCTTATCGTCCAAAATCAAACATAATTGGGCTGCCTAAAGACTCCTCGAATCACCACCATACTCCTTTTAACTTATGTTCGCATTGAGAAGGATACGGCTCAAAAAATAAATAAATACACAAATAAAATCCTGCATATATTCTCTATTATGACTAAAATCCATAGATACTGAAGTTAGATATCAGTGCCTATCAAGAACGTCCACGCCATTCCGATAACATTTGTTCCTACCCTCCAGCCATCGTTGTTAGAGTCATCGAGATTGAATCATTATGTATGCTTTCTTCAACGGGCTTTGCTAGGGTGACAGGGGCCGATTTGGCGCACCCCTACCAAATCAGCGCCCTGTCATGGCCCCTGCCCATTTATCAAAACCCTTCTTCTACACATTGCCTACCTAATTCAGCAAAAGTAACAACATATGCTACTTCCGAACTGCCAGCATTCATTCTTAATTTAATGCATCTAATTACTAACCACAACCTTCGAATTAGCAAAATGAAAGATAAATCTAAATAAATATAATAACAGAAGGGCACTCTCATGGTACCAACAGCAGGGTCAACCAAGGATCTAATTCAGCAAACATGTAAACCTCTAAAAATTGTAAAATAACCAGAGAGAGGAAGAAAAAGATAAGACATGAAAGTATCACAGAGTGACAGAGGAAGAAAAAGATAAGACATGAAAGTATCACAGAGTGACAGCAGAATCTTGAAATCCCAAAAAGGTCTAATTCTCTCCCAAACATCAAAACACCAGAAAATGTCACATCCCAAAAATGTAAAATAACAAAATACTCGCTGAATCCCTTTTCACCACTTCATAAGGTTTATTACTGGATCTAATCTAAAGCAACTAAATTATTAGCAAGAAGCACACAAGCATGATCAAGAAATGTCTAAAAAAGCTTACTGTTAAGTTCATCAAGCCATCTTTTGACATTCTCAAAAGTAGTCCTCCTGCTAATATCATACACAACAAGAGCCCCTACAGCCCCCCGGTAATAAGCAGAAGTGACAGCCCTGAATCTCTCTTGCCCAGCAGTGTCCCACACTTGGGCCTTCACCTCCTTGCCATCGATCTCCACCATCTGAGTCTGAAACTCCACTCCAATGGTGGCTTTAGAGTTATGGTCAAACTCATCTCTAGAAAAACGGGACAGCAAATTGGATTTTCCCACTGCTGAATCACCTATAACCACTATTTTGAACAAATACTCCTCCCCTGTTTCTTCTTCCCCCATTTTTTGCTTTATTTTTGCTGTCTTTCACCCTTCTTTTTTCCTTCCTCTGTCCGTAATTTGTGTGTGTGTGTGTGTGTGCAGGGGCATGGAGAAAAAAGGTTGGATTTTTAACATTAGAAAGTGGACTAATGTGAACTAGGGAAGGATTGGCTGCATAATTTACGGGCATTAAAAGTAGATTTTATATATTTAATTAATTTCTTTTTGTTTTGTGTAAATTTTAATATTTTTTAGTTCTTTGTGTCACCTATGAATACATATTAAGCCCATGATTGAGCCACGTTCTAAAAAAAATGTATTATTCACGTCAAACTAATAGAAAATATGTGGCTAAAAAATAAGAAAAAATTTTAAATTTATGTGTAATATTATTTTATTGAAAAATGTGTGATTGAAATGATATCAAATTATTGTTGAATAATGTATTTTTTTGAAAATAATATGGCTCAAACAAACCCTCATATTACAGGCTTATAGCAATTTAAGTACAGATTAACTATATTAATATACTTTGAAAATTTTGCTTTCACATCGGATCTTTTTTTGTTTTTTTGGTTTATGGTTTAACAATGCCATAAGAATGAGATCTGTTCATTCTATATAACTGGAAAATAGAGAACCGATTTTAAATTCGATCAAATTTGAACCGATTTTAAATTCGATCAAATTTTCTTACTAACATCCCAGGTGATGTGTTTTATTAATAACGAAAATAATATAGACTTAGGAGAGGACTCGGCCTTATCTCCAACTATTAATAAGAGAGAGGGAGACAGAGAGAAGGTCAAAAACTTCTATCTATACATTCTTAAGAAGTGATTAAACATGTCCATAAAAAATTAGAAATCTTTGAACCCAAACTAGGTGTCTTTCAGAAGAGAAACGTCCCTTGAAAGAAAGAAGTAAAGCTCTTAAATTTTTCCTCAAATGTATTCGCTAGGCTAATTTATTTCTTTATCAAGAACCTTGTGATGCCTTGTGTGTTAATTAGGTGGCTCATGTTTTTGTAAATGGGTGCATTGTCCCGTGGAAACATCAACTAGCCCATTCGGATATTGGGGGCAAACATAAGTTCAGGGAGTGGGGTAGAGCCCCACAGTACGATATTGTATTGTAATGATTCTTTTGGGGTTTTGGATTCTATATAAACAACCTTTAAGACTATTCAAAATTATGAATTATCTGCTTCATACAACAGTCAACGTAGGCATATTGTCGATTTTATTGTTCATGTTTTGTACAACAATGCGGAAGCCCTTATATTCAATCTTCTTTATTGCTCAATTCAATTTTGAATGTTCACATGTGTACATCAGTATATAGATGGAGCCAGTATTCAGTTTAACAAAGCTCTGTACACTATACATACAAGTTCTTTACATCTGCAAATGAGAGAAATTCTTCATCCTTTCAAGCTTCAGCAATTTTGTTGAGACATCCTCTAATGCTTTCTTATCAATTATTGGCCTTGCCAAAACTTCTAGGAAATGGAACAGCATCTCTTACATCATCGAGTCCAGTGGCATAAAGAACCAATGAATCAAATAAAAATGTGAAACCCGAACATTTAGCAGTTCCATGCCTGCGAAGATCTAGATACCATTCATACTGCTCTTTCGCCAATCCCATTTCAGTGATCCTGCAGTAATTTACACAAAAATTTTCTTTTGGAAGACCTCAAGGGGAGGATAATCTTGAATCTTGATTGTTTCCAAGTAAAGAAGACTTCACCTTGTACTTAATACATTGAAGCGTTCCTCGTTTTGGCTTCCTCTTATCAGAGTTCCAACCTGAAATTATCGATATAATTGCAGCTTGGAATAAGTTAACCTCTCAAGAAAATATAAAAAACAAACACCTACTTGATTTGATCAGAAATGTGTATGGTTTGTTCAAACCTTGGGTACAATTACGTCGAATGCTGCTACTGTTTTTTCATCATCATTTAAGCGCGTGTAGAAAGGTTTAATTTCTTTTGGGTGATTGTACATGATGACTGGCTTTTTATATATTTCATCTGCTAGATAGCTGCCACAGAAGATTTACAAGAAAGTAAAATCTGGTTAGCATCTGTACCTACCTTTCATGTTCTTCACTTAGAGAAACGCCCCATTCGACTTTTGTCTCAAATTGTTTCTCAGTGACCTGATACCAAACCAAAATCATAAGTTTGTGAATTTTAAGCCGTAAAGATTCAGCCAAGTGAACTTAGAAAAATTTAAAAGACATTTGCCTCATTCAGAAATTCGATCGCCTCAGTGTAAGAGATATATTCAACCACACCAGTTGCAATCAATTGAAGACGATCCACAATGGTATTGTCTATTCTCTTTGAGAGAAATTTTAGATCTTCAGTACTATTCTCTAAAATCCATTTGCATATGAACTTCAAAAAGTCATCTGCACAATCCACGGCATCCTGACAAAATTCCACAGAAATCAAATAGTTATATTTTAGATAGTGAAGCCATTTCATACAAGAGGGAAAGCATACCTCTATTTCTGAGAAAGCCATTTGAAGCTCGACCATCCACGCCTCAGATAACGATTTCCTGGACTCTATTTTGTTAGCTCGGAATCTTGGTCCAAAGGAATAAACTTTTCCCAAAGCACACGCGTAACTCTCCAAATGAAGGCAACCAGAAACAGTCAGAAACGTCTGGCATGAGAAGAAATCTTCAGAAACCTTATCTTTATTTCCACTGCTGGTAGGTTTTCCAGATTTCGCCTTTTCTTTTGCTTCCAACTGAGATACAAGCTCGGTTGTTTTCTTGAGATCCTGAATAGCTGCTGCCAATGCTTCTTTATTGCTATCTGTTCGTTTAAGTTCCTCGACTTGCTTTGTTTTTTCCTCGATCGAGACCTTCATAACTTCAAGTTCGACACCTCCAGCATCATCTGCGGTACTTTGGTTCTCTATCTTTCCTTTACCAGAAAGAGTAGTCACTTGAAAATTCTCGCTTGCTCCCTCACAATCAGTGCTTGTTATTATTGGCACTTGCACAAAAAGGAAGCCATTTTCTTGGAAGAAGGTATGAGTTGCTTGTGTAAGAGCACTTCGGATTCTCATAACAGATGCTACCTGTGAAAATTTAAGAAAATTCTTGAAAACCTAAGATTACAAAAGATAAACTCACAAGTTACTAAGGGAACAGATATTACAGTTGTTGTTCGTTGTCGAAAATGGGCAGAATCCCTCAAATTTGCCATGGGCAAACGTCTCTTCGATAAAGGATATCTGTCCTGATCAACTGTCCCAATATGAAGAATTTTCTCTGCTTTTAGTTCAATAATTTGCTTCCCCTGCGTTGATGGTTGCTGCAATATACCTTCTGCCAATATACAAGTCCCTATAGGCATAATTCTAACCGGAGGAGCTAGGGACGAGTCTACCACAACCTGAGCGATCACATAACAAATCAAAACATAAATTCGTATCAGAAATTTCAATTTCTTGATTGATCACCTAAAGAAGGCTTAAAAATTTGTAACAAGAAACAAATTTTTGATCAATTGTAAGAATCTAATTAGGTGTACCTGAAGATTAGCAACACAAGAACCATCACTAACTTGCAAGATTGCACCTGTAAGCTGTGGTGGCATAGGAAGATCCGTATCCAACTTATCACGAATTTGTTGCCCCGCACCTCCTAAAACCTTCAGAATACTCCGAAAAAATGGAAACCGAGATTGAAGAATTTCCACACAGGTTACATCTTTATGCACTCCAGCATCAGGAGCCGCCGTCACAGGGTCTTTACTTACCGCCCGGGAGGACTTTACCCATCCTCCAACCACCACTCTCTGGCCAATGAACCTAACACCACCATCACTTTGGCCAAATACAAATTTTAAAACTACCGTTTTGGAGTACTTTGGAAGGACCAATTGTGTTTCCATCGGGGCTTGTTCTGAGGGCTTTTTTGGATAAGAAAAATCTGGGGAAATTGAAGGGAACTTTTTTGTTGAAGTGATCTTTTGTTGGGATTGTAGTGTTGAGGAATATGATTGAGTTAGGATTTATATGAAGGGAAATTATGCTTTGCTTAAGAAGTATTGGGTGGATCACAGAGAGGAAGATGGAAGAAGGGATTGTTGGGATATCTGGGGGACAAGGTAAGGGATTGTTTCAGGGTATTGCCATCTACTTCAGGCTTGGAGGGAGAGACATGGACACGGGGTTTGGTATTCTTGAGAGGGAAGGAATTCGCGGGAGTTTTCATATTTCAACCGTCTTTTAAAGTTACATTTTTTATGTTTGTTTTGAAGCCAAGTAACATTTATTTATCCTAATAATGTCTTAGCTAAACGAGAGAAAAAAAGATATATTTTTATTTTTCAGAACAAGGTAATCATAATTCCACGTAAATGACACAATAAAGAAAAACTTTGTTTCTTTTTCTTTTATTCAATGATGAACAAAAATGACTCATAGGGCAATGAAAGAAGAGGAAGGTCCCTAAAGTTTTGAAGAACATATCAATTTAGTCCCTGGAGTTTTTTTCATTACACTATTCGACTATTAAAGGGCCTTTCAGCATACATTTATTGTAATTTAAAAATCATGTAAAACACCAAATATGTTGTTGAATTTTTTATTTTTATTTTTTGCTGTAAGAATTGCCGTTAACGCAGTTCATTAGAAATGCAAAGAATCTTCTTTTGACCTATGGTGAAGATCAAATCATTGAAATTTTCTAATATTTCAAAAGTACTAAAACCAATATTTCTGTCATCATTTAATTGATGTGTATTAAATAATTGAAATTCACTACTTAAACATGAATAAATAATATATGTCAATTAAATAGTAACATGAAGTACTGAATTTCAGCTAGTACTAGAAACTTTCATTATGCGCTTACTCTTAATAAGCATTTCTCATTCAAGATTCACCTTCAAAATGCAATTTGAGAAATAATTTTCCTGCATTACATGCAAAAATGGATTGAAAACCATTATTTCAGGATTGACATTTGCTATCATCACAGAACGGAGCCATCAAAATTCAACCATAATGACCAAATTTGCAGAACTAAAGAAAAAGTAGAAAGTTGCGCAACTGATAACAAATTTCAACTACTAAAAGAGGTTGTAAAATGATTTCTTTTGCGTTTGAATAGTCCAAAAAAATATTAATTTCAACAAACTCAAACTGCTCAAAGGACGCTAGAAAAGGAGCAAACATTCCATTCAGAAAACATAGAATAAGCAAATTTATAACACGAACAATTCGCTTCATATGGACAAGTTACATTTTCCTTCCTTAGACCATTGATTCTTTCCAACAGATTTGAGTCAAAATCCAGCATTCTCGAGTAGTTGGTTTCGTGATAAACAAAAAATTTGGTATAAAAAAATATAATGCAACCAAACCTAGCAGTCGAACGTTTATATGCCTCGAAGTACGCAAGGTAATGGCATGGACAGTACGGGATTTGTGATATCTTCCCCCTTCTCTCGATGGAAGCGAGAGCAACAAGTTGAAGAAGTTCTATATTTGATCATGACCATTTCATATCATTTAATTTATAAAGAGAGGCATGTATAAATTAATCATGTGCCAGGATGTTCTCCGATGAAGATGAAGGCGGCGATGGTGAAGATGACACCGCCGCATGATAAGATGATGATGCAAGTTGAGCTAGTGCTGGAATGGCACCACCTGCACAAATTCAAGTCCACAAGGGAAGACGTTAGAAAGCATTGAATCCTCTCAAAATCAGATTTCATTCATGCGAAATTATTATTTATACAATGATCATGCTTCTGCCGAAATCAATTTCGTTAATTCAACTCAGGATTGTCTTAACATAGAAGACTTCCAACAGAAATATGTCTAACGGGTGTATAAATCTTGTAAGAGAGATAGAAGTGGGTTTTCATGTAAACTTATTTCTCTAGATACGGAGCTGTAGTAGGCAATGAGGCATATTCACTGACGAGGAAGTATTTTTGGAATAATTTATTCTCTTATATTATTCAATTCAATTCAGCATTATTTCTTCTGATTGCCAGGTGTTTTGCAAGATATTTAGAACTGCACATAATTTAAGTAAACAAGGATTGACATTCAAGAGAGAACTCCTACCTGCCAACCCAGCACAAGCTGAAGAGAAGACAATGACGGGTGGGGCCTGGATCCATAAAAAGGTCGTGACATAAGAACAAAACCATAAAAACAGGGATGAAAAGGGAAAAATGATAGAGACTAAGCTTATGTTTGGCTCATGATTAAAATTAATTTATAAACACTCAAGCTACTTTGTATTCACACATTTTGAGGACCCACAGGCCACAACTACTATCCACTTATCTATTACATATTTCCATTTGTTTTAATTTAAACAATTTATAAATACCTCCCAAACATGCTCTAAATTTGGAAATGACATAGCGTGACTCGCCAGATAATTTTGTCAGAATAGAAACTTTTACACCCTAAACAGCCATTTACTCCACAATATACAACTAGAATCTCGACTTTAATCAGAGCAAAAGAAATGGTTATGAACAGTACATTTCCAGATCATACATCTTCAAGATGCTCGTATGTTGAATTTATGCCAACAATACTTCCTTTCCTTTATCTTTTTGTGTATAAAGACAAAAAAAATAGAAAATAATACAAATCAGATGGCATCTTCCACTGACTGCCACAAAAGATTTTCAACAACCTGCCTAGTCTTTAAAAAATGAAGCAACATAGCAATTGTCCTCTCCCTATCTTGTTTACAGCACACGAGGAACCAACTCAACTAGATCTTCTTCCTCAACTAATATCCAGTAGATGACTTCAGGATGAATACTGTTATACTGTCTTGTCAAATGAAAGAAAAAACAACTGGAGGCATAACTCTATAATGAGCAGTGACTGATTAACATATGTGCAAAATAAAGTTCTCCCAGCCCTGGATCTAACTGTTAATATCCTGTCCCAGGAAACTTTCAGATTATCCTGTCATATCTCTCTGCTCTTTACACTAAACAATAAGGCATCCTCATAACAAATAAATAGAATCCACCAAATTCTAACTTCACCTCAAAAGAAATTTGCCATTTCTACAAATCTGATATATTTGAAGGGATTAATCACAACAGATCATTTAAACTTCAAAAACATTTTCCCCGCACCAAATATCCTCTCAAACCTGCCTTTCCTCACCCATATCAATTCTCAAAACCTAACTCATAGTATATTCCACATTCTAGTAGGGTAAGCTTCATATTGGTATCATGCTCAATTGGAGAGTAGTTGGAGATGATTATGGGTCCACAATAACAAACCACTTCCTATCAACCAAGAAAGAAGGGAAATATAAGGAGAAATGAGGTTCAACAAGGAGGTTGAGTTACAGGCTTCAGGGCAAAACAACGAGTGTGAGATGGAAGCACTTACACTGATGAGGAAATGCAACCACATAGGTCCTTTGATCCACCTCTGAACAATTGGCGTGGCTGCAGAAAAATTATAAAGGGAGTATAAAGTCAGTCTGAAGACTATGATCTTCCTCACATCATTTTTTCAGTTAATTCTTCTAACTGTTTTTTATATTCTTCATACTCTTCACCTGTTGATTCTAAGAATTTTTGTTCTATCTCTTCTACATTTGTAATCATATATTGTTTTTCTTCATGCTTTTTTCCTTTATTATTTTCTTTTTGTATTGTCCTAAAATCTTGGGGTGGATTAATTATAATCTTATCTTTTCTTCTAAGGTTTTTATCTAATAGGGCATTTCCTATTTGTAGATTATGTTCTAAATTCTCTAATCTTTTATGTATATCTCCAAAATTTTCATTTGTGGTATTCTTAGGTAAATAAGGATAACTAGGTTTTTTATGTTTTTCAACTTTTTTCAAAAATTCTTCTATTATATTTTCTTCGTCTACTATATTCATCATGATTTTTGGTTCGTAACATGGCTCTGATACCATTTCTTCGGAGTGTACAGCGGAGGGGTTAATATTTTTTAGCCAATTAAATTTTTCATAAGTATTTAAAATATCACAATAGAATTTATAAAATTCACTATTTTTTACCAATATTTTTTCTTTAATAATTATATTTAATTCTTTAATTCTTCTTCTTAAATTAAGAATTAATTTATATATATCTTTTTCCATTTTGATTGCTTCATTATCTATGGAATCATTTTTATTTTTTAGTTTTGGGTCTAGATATTCTATAAAGAAGTCTTTCAGATCTTCTTCCAAATAAATTAATTCGTTTTCTGTAGCAGTTTTTAGGTCAATAAAATTTTGTATAATATTTGGATTTAAATTTATTAAGAAATTTTGATTTATATTTCTTTGAGGACTTATTTCAAGGTTTTTAGACATTGTAGTGGCTTTGGTTGCAATTTCTCTGTTAAGGGTATTTTTGGAAAATTGATTGTTTGGAGACTAGTTTTCAAATGTTTTTATTTCTTAGACTAATTTGGAAAATCTTCCTTTTATTTAGGTTATTAAGCTGTATTTCCCTAACTATTCTCACTCTTCAATCTCCATTTCTATAGTGGCACAATCCCAACCACATCGACTTCTACCCTCCATTTTCCAAAGAAGTGCAAACCCCATCACCACCAATAACCCTATAAAATTCAAGATCATATCGAGCTATAAATCAGGTATAAGCGCCTGGAAACCCCTTCAACGGAGAGATAAAAAGGAAATACAAAGCGTATTTTTCGACAAAAAATGTAATATATATATATATATATATATATATATAACTTTACATTTTTTTACATCTACTCATGGGATCACAAAAGGCAAAATGCTACCATTTCACTTACTCCATTTTTTAAAGATGAATAGAATTTGAATTTAGGGGGGTGTATTCAATTGGGACTTTTGAAAACTTTAATAGACTTTTTTTAAGTGATGACTTTTGTGAATTTCGTGGATCTTTCATTTTTAAAGATGAATAGAATTTGAACTTAGGGGGTGTATTCAATCGAGACTTTTGAAGACTTTAATAGACTTTTTTTAAGTGATGACTTTTGTGGATTTCGTGGATCTTTTAAAGATTTTTATGAAATTAGTGGAAGTCTTTCGTAAACTTCTATAAATTTTCATTTAAAAAATTTTATAAACTTTTATGGAATTCAAAAGACTTTCGAAAACTTTCATTTGAAATAAAATTCACATGAATCTGGTATGAAATTCTTTAGTTCCCATAATTCTCCTTTTCCTTCCCCGTCTTCTTCCCATATAATAAGAGAGAGAAAATAAAAATAAATGGAATATAGTAAATAGACAAAAATAAATTTTAACATGTCCATAGATGGTTAAAGGAAAGAAAGATTGGAAAAAACTGTTTTTTTTTTTTTTTTTTTGTGAAAGTATCTCAAATTTTCGTGATTAATTTGAGACAAATTTTAAGATATTAAATGAGTACTTTCTGCTTAAAAGTTAGAAAATTTGAATACCACAAGACTTATAAAGAATTCTAAAAAGTTTTAATTAAATACACCGTAATTTTTAGAGACTTTTTAAAAGTCTATAAAAGTCTTAATGGAATACACCGTGACTTTTAAAAAGTCCCAAAAAATTTCAATTGAATATCCCTAAATTTTTTAAATTTCAAAAATTCATTAAAAATTTCAATTAAATATACCCCTAGATTCATGAAAATATAATTTAGGATATAAAAATAATTTTTAGAATATCAATTTACACTAATTTTAAAAATGGAGATGATGTTAGACCAAATAACATCTTAACCTCTTGCTACAACCTAATCCCCTTCTCTGGATAACGGAGAAAAGAGCATGGCTTCTTCTCTCATCGCCTCTCAAACCTTCATCCTCCAAAACCCCATTAATTTTCTCTCACAGCACCACTCCCTCACCGCTTTCTCCTTCCCCTCCACCTATAACCGCCACCTCCTCCCTGCCGTCTCAAAACCCAAAGTCCTCTCTTTCTCCCGATACCCAAAACCCTCAAAATCAAAAATCTCGGTATTCTTTTCGGCTCCACATGCACATCCAGATATAAAATCTCCCCCAAACCGAAATCCATCTCATGATTTGCTCTCCGGGTCGACTCGGACAATCACTACTCTCTTTGCCACGGCCCTAATCGCCTCAAAATTCTTGGCAGGCGGTATCCTAAATTTGGCCGTGCAATTGAAAGAACCCCTGTTTTATACCGCCGGCCCGGCATTCTTCGCTGCGATGAAGGACGTCCCTACCGGGTCGTTGAACACGCCGTTCACGGTGGTGGCGGCCGGGATGGCGAAATGGCTGGATATTTATAGCGGGGTTCTGATGGTTAGGGTTTTGCTCAGCTGGTTCCCTAATATTCCCTGGGACAGGCAGCCTCTGTCTGCAATTCGGGACCTATGCGATCCGTACTTGAATCTTTTCAGGAATATAATCCCTCCAATTTTCGATACACTGGATGTTAGCCCACTTTTCGCCTTTGCAGTTTTGGGAACGCTTGGCTCAATTCTGAACAGCAGCAGGGGAGCTTACTGAGTATTTTCTAAAATTTTGTAGTTTTTGATAATGAAATTGCGTGCATTTTGGGTCTAATTTGTTGGGGTGTAATAGTTTTTGTAGCATCTTTGTTATAGTTACACAGAACTGGGTAAATTACTTGAAATGCTAGATCTTTCGATGGCTTCATAATTCGTTACATGGCCAATTGATTGGTATTAATACTTTAGTTTATGTAGCATTTTGAGGTTTCTTCTGACGATCTCTTCTCTAATTGACTATAGGAAGTTCTTCTACTCTTGTTACTTGGCCAATTGATTTGTATTAATACTTTGGCGGCATGGGAGGATTAGATATTACTGAATGAATTCCAAGGAAAAGAAGCTAAAACGCTGTTCATTATAATATGTAATCTTACCCAATACTTCATATAACGGTTTGAGATAATTTGCATGTGGTGTTTATAGACAAATACTTGACCTTTCTGGTAATGTTCTTCAGCTGTTTTATAATTTTAGTAGTTCCGTTTGTGATGGAGACAATTCCATTGGGTTTTGGGCTTCAACATTAATATTGTTTATTAGTTAGTTAATTTTTTTCCCATTTGAGACAGACAAATAGGACACCAAGTAGCTATCCTGTTTCTCTGATTTAAACCGTGTTTATCCTTCTGGGAGATTTCTTAATTGTGCACATATTAAAAAGTTTCCAGTATTCATCCTTGTTGTCGAGATAGCTTGCGGTGATTCAAAATAGGACTCCTATATCTTTGTCAAGTCTCCTATTTCTGTTTGTAAAGTAGAAAATTATTCAAGTGCAGTTTCTTGACTCTTATTATCAGAAAGTCCAAGTAAACGGTGTAAAGATTACGGTTGTTCTGGAAATTTGTTAGTTTCTTTCCAAGATTGCTCCAATTCCTTTGGATTATGGAGATAGGCTATATTTGACATTTGAGGAGATTGGATTTTTCTCGTGTCTCTCTTGGTTTGCTCATGGACTGAGCTACAAAAACCATATATCTTATTTTTCCTTCTCTCCATACGATTTCAGTCTACTTATAATAAGGATATTGGTTTCAGGAATCTTTTAAATTGCTTTGGTAATTCTTCCAGAAATTAACTAATCAATATTAAACAACCTTGTTGATTCCAGTCAACATGAAAGAAGAACACCACCACAAGGAAAGTCATGGATATACACACAAATTACATAAATTGAGCGAAGTAGGCAGGATCTAGACAAAATTTCCCTTTCCTTTCAGCTAAGCTACTTTGATAGAAACCGCAACCATTTAGACCAAACCATAGATGGAGTCATGTTCTCCATATGTCTATATAAATAAGCACTCATAATACATCGAAGGCATCATGGGTCTCACTCCCATCTGAGCGTAGGTCAAGCAGGGTGTTAACTTCTTTCTGTCAAAGAAGTTTAATTCTTATCATTTGCACCCTTGCCTTTCTTTCTTACTGAACTTGCACTTAGACTGTGTTTCTCTAGCAAATGACTTTAGCATCTGCAGAAAGCTCTCAAGTTTTGCTTAACGGGAATCTATGCAGTCCCCTGAAGGCTCAAACTGATGGATGATGCTAAACAAACAAGCCACGTTGTCCTAGTCCGTCTAGAATAATTCTAAACAGATGCACAAGTAACATCTTTGAGTTTTGGTTTGAGCTCTTACCAAATCTGTCTCTTCATATGATTTGAGTATCGTATCAAGATTTGACAAAGAGTAATCATTCAGCCACCTATAAATATAATCCTTATTTTCCAAGATAACAGGCATCCTTTCTATAAAAATAACACAAATAAACTATTTTGTGAGTCAGATGCATCACTTAGGTGCTTTATAAATGCAGAAGTTCCAAAGTTACATACATCGCAGTCCTGTGAAACTTGGACGAGTCTAGATTAAGTGGGCCCAAACATGGGCTTAATGGTTAGAGTTCTTAAGACTGACAATATACATTAAGTGGGCTTTAAAGAGAATAATAAAAACACTGCAGAACCATGGTGCCATCCCAGAGATGATGATGATGATGTAGTCACAATAGTGAAGGTATACAGGACTTCTCCTGTACAGGGAAGAAGAAAAAAAGGATTAACTCTGGGGATGTATTTAGGGGAAGAGTCTGAGAAAGCATACAAGATCCAGGAACAAAATCCATGTCAATTGTTCAAAAGAAAAATGTATTTACAAGTTTAAAAAATTGTTTTAATCGGTATTTCACCTTCTGGATTTTTCCAAGAATCGAATAGAGAAGCAAAGACCAGGGGAGACCATCCTTAAAGTATGAGGTTGCTTTCGAGGGCCATCTTTTTTCCAATGAGTATATCTGATCACAAAATTGGTGCACATCACGAAAAAAACAATTGACTAACATAACTATAACCGAAGAAATATAAATAAATCAACAGCTTGTTAGCTATCTTGTCAAATATTTGTTGGCCAGATGAAAATCTATTGCAGCTTAGAACAACCAAAATTGGGTTAATCTGCTTGGACAGTAGGCCCTGTCCGTCCAGCAAGGTTCACCAGAATTTCATCATTTTGTCTGAGTGCGGGGTCTGGGGTTTGTTCCATTTACCCAATATCCGTCCAGCAAGGTTCACCAAAATTTCATCATTTTGTCTGAGTGCAGGGTCGGGGGTTTGTTCCATTTACCCAATATACAGAATTGTGGGATTAATTAATATAATTGGTATCTGCTGAGAAAATTTTGAAGAAGGAAAAATGGACAAAAATTAGAAGACTAGAGGAGCAATATCAACAACTAGAGTGACTACTAGATATGGAAATACTTGCATAGGACATATTAGGGGTGGCAATCAGCTTGATCCTTATAATCATTCACACTATTGTTAGGAACAAGACAACGTAAAGAAGCATTCACACTATTTTTTCTATTACCTTGGTACTAAACATTGAGTAGTTATATATATCAAGTTTGATGAAATTAAGATTGATTAGGTACCTAGACGGGTCAATGCTATTGCTAACACAATCGTCCAATTATCTTCGACTTCTGACACTTCGAATAAAAAATAATAATCATAATGTTTGATTGTGCATTTGAATGTGGCATACATATATATACAGACCAATTGATAGTTAAAGTCACACTACCATAATCCATTTTTTCTCTTCAAAGAATTTCTTATATATAGATAAATTCATTGTGGCAAATTGAGAAATCTTGTTTCATGATCATTACTTGTTCGTATTGGGAATCAAGCAAATTTTCTATGAAAGGAAAATGATTCATTGGGTGGGATTACGATTCAAAGGGCTTATAAACTCTTAGAGAAGGATCGATATAAGCCCAAAGAATCTCTCATCAGAGAATTCCCTTGTTACAAAAAAGTTAAAAAGGACAAAGGAGAAGGGAAAGGGTTGATTTAGGAGAAAGAAACATAAATATTTAGGTTGACACCAAGTTTGACCAAAAGAATGTTGGGTATCAAGAAAAGTTATCTAAACATGTTCATTCTTATTTCATAAATATAGGTTTATTTTTCTCCTTAAAGGGTCAATTCCCCCCATGCCGTTGCCCTCTTCTTTTTCATGTGCAAGAAAGCCAAACTCAAAAAAAAAAAAAAAACCTATGTACGGCATCTCCACAAAGGCTACGCTGCAACATCGGGCAGAAACCTCAATGAATACAATATTCTACCACAGACAATTTTAAAGAAATTTGAAGAAGGAGTACTCTTTTTAGTTTTATCATCTTTGTTTCTGTTACTTAGCAAGGTCTTCCATTGAATCAAACGCTGCAAAAAGATTTCTTAGGAGAAAGAAAAATACTCACAAATTTGCATATTTTTAAGACATATAAATGATCTAATGAACATTAATACTCATCTTGTATAGATATTGTCTCATTGATTAATAAATTAATCATAATTTAGCAAATACTTAAATGTGTGTAGTTACTAGTTCACGTAATCCAACCCATACTTGGTCCGGTAGAACCAAGTGAAGATGTGAATCATAACCTAGCTTATACGTCACACATCTAACCAAACATGCAATTGCATAATATTAACCAAAATCTCACCAATTTTTGCTTGTTTTATTCTTGATAATATTGGAAAAAGCAGCAAATGATTTTTGTGTTCAAATCTCATTCCCTACTTCTAATGAAGAAATATTCTAACATGCATCGACCATGTATATATATTGAACAAGTAAACAAAGCATGCAAACATTACACTACGAGACATTAACTTTTTTCACAAGCATTGTAGTCGCAAATTCCAAAGATATTCCATCCAACGGTAAAAAATATTCCAAAACAGTTGTTACTACAAGAATTTTTAATTCTTATCATTATCACCAGATAATGATTAATTATCTTCTTGGACCAAACACTTTCTTGCCTCTGCACGCTATTGAAAACCAGTGATTTATATTTTTTCTCTCATTTTTGCATATATTTACTGAATCCCATCAGCTTTTCACCATTTTCAACAGACACGAGCCGGGAGCAGACAGCTTGAAAAGAAACCCCACGCCTTCTTCTGCACAACAAAAGAAAAGGCAACAAATTAATAAACTTTATAGCTTGTTTGATATCCATTTTTTCTAAAAATATATTTTTCTTCGTTCTTTTCAATTACTCATTTTTCAATAAAATAATATTATACGTAATTCAAAATTTTTTCTTTTATTTTGAATTATACATTCTCCATTAATCTACTATTTCAAAATACATTCTACACTAAAAATGGAGCCCAAGCGACAAGCATAATGTTAAGTTGCATGTTCAAGAATTAAAATCATGTTTGACTGAGGTTAAAAGCAATTCTTTGTTTAGAAACATGTTTAAATAAATAAATAATCCTTTTTAGAGTAACTATTACGTCCTTCACTTCGATTAATAAAATCGTGTTTATTTTAGAATATAGAAACATATAATTAAACCTTCTATATAACCCCAAAAAAGTGAAGACTGTAAGAATGCAGATATTCAGATTGTTTAATGTAAAAGTCTAAGGCCTGAGGTTTTAGCCTAAGCTTAACTGCTTTCCTTGAACAATGCTATGCCATAAAAATATGAGAAAAAGCAAAAGATTATGGCTCATAATAAAGTATTAATCTTTATTACTGCTTTTAATGATCCTTTTTCTTTGACAAAATTTGTGCCAAAAATCACATAAAAAAAGTAGTCTTTAAATCTGGATAACCATGTAGTTTTTTGCTGTAGTGGGGTGGCGTGGAGGGGTTGCAGATGGCTTACCTTTTTGGTTTGTGCGCGGAGGAGCGCCGGCGAAATCTTGTATAAATCTTCATCCACCGCCTTGGGTGGTGGTCTTGCTGGTGGCGATGCCGTGACAGGAGATGGTGATGCTTTCATGTCACTGTCATTATCACACACCACCCATGTTGCTGCTTCCTTTTTCTCTTCTTTTTCTTGAGGATAACCTCTTTTTGCCTGCATTTTAAATAACAATCAGAGCTTCATAATGAGAAGTAAAAAACAGAAAATTTGTCTTGATAATTAACATTGTGGCTTGTGTAGAAAATGCAAGCGAGGTGGGGGTACGGGGGCTTACTCGGCGGCGAGGAACAACAATCATGGCCGGAGTAACAACATCATTCTCGTACAAATCTCCGGCAACGTACAAATCCCGATCTTCATCGGAGTAGCTATACCGGCAAACCCCAGCTTGTCTTGCAGATTCAAAGCACTGTGTAAATGGAAGATCATCGTTGCAATCCCAGCTACCAAAAGCTGGAACATGGCTCCTCCTAAAGTAAAATTCCTACACATCATCATCAAGAACACAAACAAGTCATAAAAATATGAAAAATTACACTGCAAATTGCTTGAAATATAGAGCTTACACTTACATCCATTATCTGTCAACGAAGAATTTTAGAGAATCTTGGAGATATATGAGGTTGACTTGTTAGAGAGAAGCGTAGAGAATTTGTAACAATTTTTTTTTTCTTTCTATTAGTTGTTGCTTTCCAGTTCGTGGGCACGGGGAATTTAAAGGGAAACGGGAGAAAAATTAGCTGAAGTGGTGTCCTTTCTTTGTTTCTTCGGTGGAATAAAAAAATAGCAAAAGTACTAAAGAGGTTGGGTGGGGTAGGGTACGATTGGTTGAGTTGAATTGTGCTGTATATACATAATAATTTATATATACACACGAGTAATTAGATATGATTGAATCAGAATTTTTTTTAATTAAATAAAAAAAAAGTTCCATTTTCTTGTTCACACCTTTTCTACTGCCGCGAGCAGTGAACAGAAGTAAAAAATAAAGAAAAAGCAACAAGCCCAAATACCCATGTTTAAACAGTAGCTGACAAATCGAGAGATAAGTAAGGTGGGGGTGGGGCAAGGTGGGTAAGAACAAAAGAGTGTTCTTTGCTTTACTTTTACTTTATCTGGTGTAAATTCTTAACCACTTTTATCAGAGTGATTCAATGCTTTTCCTCATCTGTCTCCCAGATGTGTATATTCCAGTGTCGTGTATTTATACAGAGACAGAAGAATGGTTTTCCCATCTCCAAGCAAAATCTTGAAAGCTACCTCTCGTATTAAAATATCCTTTTCGATGTGTTCAAACTTATTTAAGTTAATTATAATATTCAAATCAATATTTTAAAATTTGTACTTGAATTTAACGAACAAACGATTCATTACCTCTTCTGGTGCAAGTGTAGTTGAATCTTTGGCTAAATTACCTACATTAATTGGATAAAAATACATTTTTTTCAAACTCGTTCTCGCCGTAAAAATTGTTTACCCTTGGTCATCTCCAACCTTGCACCAAATTTTGCACCATTTTGCATCACATTTTACACCAAATCTTGCACAAAACTAAAATTTATCTCCAACCATTACACCAAAAATTACACTAAATGAACAATATTTAACCATTTTCTTCCATTTTTTCTATTCTTTATAATTTATTTATCTGAAATATTATTTATTTAATTATTTTATAAATACACAAATTACTAAATAAATAATTACGTTAAATTACGAAAAATATTAAATTCATTAATAAATATAAAAAACAAGGAACAATTAATAAAAACACTATAACAACGAAAATAAGATTAGATTATCGTATGTATGTCGTTGTTTAATATGCCCATGTTTGATCCCAATTAAATTAAATTACATTACATTCCATTTTTCTCTCTCCTATTTTTAACTACATAATCTTCCATAAAATAATATTACATGTAAATCGAAAACTTTTTTTTCTTTTTCAACCACTCATTTTACTAAAAAAAATCCCCTCATTTTCAGGTAATGTAGATCAAACCAGGGCTATATTTCATGTTAACTTTAATAAATAATCGTGTTTGTGGTATTTTAAATTGTTTTCATTTTTTAATTAATTTTTTAATTATTATGTCTTACTAATATTAATATTAATATTAATAAAAATAATAATAATTTATTATATTAAAAAATATATAGCACAAATGACAGAAATACCCTTAACAAATTTATTTGAGAAATGTTAAATAAGAACAAAAGAGACATTTTAGATTTTGCACCATTTTGATGCAAAACTAATAGTGTTGCACCATATTAGTGCAATGTTTGATATTACATTGGAGTAACTTTGCACCAAAAAATGGTGCAACCATTGGAGATGCCCTTAGTCTATCTCCAATAATTTTTTTAAATATGAGTTTCCCTCTATTTTAGAGAGCGAAGCTTTAAAATAACACTTTAAGAAATTTTTTAAATTAATATTTTAATTTAGAAAGTGGTTAACTCACTCTCTATAATCAGATACATTCAAAGTATTCAATTTTCAATGTAAAAAAAAAATAAAAATAATTTAAAGAACAACTAGTTAAAATAAAAGATAAAAAAAAATAATAAATATGTTTTGAAAGTAATAAAATTAAATATTAAATATAAAGGGTTTGTTAGAGTACCTCAAAATTTTAACTTTCTAAAGTTATAGATACCCTCTAAATGATAAAATATGCTCTTTAAAAATGGGAATATCTTGTAGATACTCTTAAAAACAAAATTTTTCCCATTGCATGTATAATTCGGTCAAGTCGAGTGAATAATTGCATACTCAAATATATAAACGTGGGCAAAAACTAAGCTCTTGTTTGCTAGGGATTAAAATAAGATTTTTAGTAAATTTTGATAAAAGTTGTTGAGACGTGTGATTGAAAGTTGAGTCTCGTAAGTAAAATATTGATTAAAATTAGTTATTGACTTTGATTTAAATTAAAATCCAAAATTTAATTTGTACCAAATATGAGCTAAATAACATCCATCCTTTCCAATCTTTACTAAAGGAAGATTGTTGGATCATAGTTCCGGCTCTCCTCTTAGAAGTAATGGATCAACCCACTGGTTCTCGGTTTCTTAAATGGATCTTGCCCATTGGTTCTTGGATCTCTATTCCCAGTTACCTAGATTTGCACAAAAACAAGCCCTACTGCAAGAGCCTAAAGAAGTCAAACTTACCTTTCCAATGAATTCTCTTTGACTTGATAGTTTTGACTAATATACAATACCTCTTACGTTGTACACTGTCTGATACTAAGAAACCTATTATGTTACGGGCTAAGAAACCTATTTTAATAAATGATTAAAGATCTCAACATCATATGTTTTATTTTATTTTTTTCATACCTACAAACTAGATAAGGGAGTTAAAGAATTTGTAGAAATCCAGACCGGTTGCGCTGCTGAATATCTTATTGCATAACCTTTCCGTATTCTGACGACTCATTTAATATCTTTACCAATTCAAGCTTCTTCTCTTAATGTTACATATCGAACATACTCCCTTTCCATGGACATGCAGAATCGAAATGTTATCCCCATTCGGATAAGACAAAACTTTTACTTTTTCACATAACAATTAAGGTACAACGTGGCCAGAAACGATCAATCTCTTTATGGTAAACAAATCCATTTTGTTGTTATTAAGTGTAGTTACTACAAATGATCAAACTAATAAAAATATATAATACTTAAATTCTTAATGTAGATGATATATAATTGGTTATCATCTTTCAAATACTACGAGTGTAATATAAGTATTGGTCGACAAAGGATCACCCTTAGACGATCATTTCATGGCTATTGAGAATGAATTAAATCATATGGTGTTATTCCTCAATCTTTCTGTCTTGTCACTATGAAACCAAGATTGAAAAGATTAAAACAACCAACCATTCATAACCATCGATGAATGATTCCTCGAAAAGTTAAGAATGTATCGGTGTTAAATTGGGAGAAATTTTGAGGAAAAATCTCAAAACTCCACTGTGATACCTAATGCATATGAGTTCTTGATCATTGTGAAAAAATCTCAACAAATATTTAAGGTCAAATAATTATCAACAAATAATACAAACACGCATAATGTATCAGCTATGCATAGGCCAAAATGTTATTGAACGTATTTTCTTGACCTTCCCTTTTCTAGTCAAATTTCTTTTGGTTTTATTTATTTCAGTAAATTGTCTTAAAATTAAGCCATTGTTTGTCTACCATTATTTCAAAATTAATTTTTCTACCTTAAAGATAGACAAGCGGAAGCTAAATCTACTACGATAATCTAAGGAAAATAATAATTGGAAAGTGGTGTTGGTCTTGTCTTTGTCCTAAGCCGTGTTACTATATACATGGGCTTTGCTCTATCCACTCTAGGAGTAACCGTGGGATTTGGGCCTTTCCAGTCCTTAAAATAAACAGGAAGGTACACAGCTACAATAAGAATTGAGTAAATTTAATCAATGCTCACCCAACTTTAGTTAATATTTTTACTTGCTCACTGAACAATAAATCATAATTTATTGCTCACCCATCTATCCAATTCCTTACACATTTATCACCCATTTGATTTCCGTCACCCTCCATTAACAGAACGTGCCACATAGCGGACGGAAATCCGACGGGCACGCCAGGAAATTAAGAACATAAATCCAGTAGCCCAAACAAGATGTCCAAATAAGAACATCCATGCCCAGACCGATAAACTATTACATGAAATTAGGCCACATGGCCAATTTTTCAGAAACACCACAACCACCTGCACCAGTAATTATCGTCCTCCTCTCTGTCGCCATCTCCTCCCCTTCTCATCCTCATGTTGTTATATTTAATCGGTAGTGTATGGAGTGAAATCAAGTTCTTATATACAATATTTGTGTTTTAGATACCGGATTCACACTTACTGTATTTTGCAATTGCTTACCGTATTTGGCAACTGCTCACCGTATTTGGCAGGTAGTCACCGTATATGGCAGTAATCGTATTTGACAGAGAATTAAAAACAGAATTTTTCACAACTATTTGTTTTCATATAATGACTTTAGATAACATAGAATTTGGTGTTTGTTTTCATACAAGCACAATTTCAAAAAAAAAATCCGATAAAATTTTCCTTAATTTTATTTTTCACAAATTACTTAGATACAGACTATTATCTAAATCACTAATTGAATAAGAGTGACAAATTATATTATTTACAGAAACATAAAAGTAGTATAAATTTTAGAAAGCTAAATAAAATCTGAAAGCGTGTAAATTTGCAAATAATTAAAGCACAGATACTCAAACTGAAAGCATATATATTTGGAAATAACTTTTAACCCCGAGGCCTGTATAAACACAGTTTTCTTAAGATAAATTCGCCCTCATCATAGTGCTAGAGATTTTGTTCGAGCGCCTGTCTCCCAAGATACAACGGTAACCAGCAGAATTCGAGCACCATGGTTTTACTCCGATGAACTGGGCGAGTGTTCGAACAATATCACCGTACTGAAATGGACACAGGAGAAGACGGAACAAAAACAGAAACAGAATTGTACGAAGGCAGACGAAAATTGCAGTGCATGAACTGCTGGAAATTAAGTGAAATTATATAGGCTGAATCTGACCGTTAGTTTTGTATTAACCATTGCAGTTTTTGGAGTTACACTTCGATTTCGACCATTTGAGTTTTAAGAGTTTCAGACACTCAAAAGTCATTTGCAAAAATCACAAAAAAATTGCAAAATGCGGACAATCCAAAC